ATCGCTATATGGTGAAACCGTCAATGGCGCAATTGGGTTTAATGCGTGCAAGCCGTATTATTCGAACCTTGCAGTGTCGCCCGAAGCATATTCAACCCATCGAACCCCTTGTCAACACGATTCTTCACCACAAAGCAAACTGTCCTGATACGTCTTCCCAACACCGAGACCCGACGCACAACGCACACACACACACACACACACAAAAAAAAACAATACACACACAACATGCAAACATCACGCCACGCACAGCACACACAACACACATACAACACAAACAACACACACATAGCACACGCAGAGAACACACACGCACACACGCACGCACACACACACACACACGCACACACAACAACACATACACACACACTCACACACACACACGCACGCACGCACGCACGCACGCACGCACACACACACACACAAAAAAACACAGGCACACGCACGCACGCACGCACGCACGCACGCACACACACACACACACGCACACACACACACACGCACGCACACGCACACACACACAAGCACACACACACACGCGCACACACAACGAAACACACACACACACACACGCGCACGCACGCACGTTCGCGCTCGCTCGCTCGCGCGCGCACACACACACACACGCGCGCACGCAGGCACGCACGCCAACGCACACACACACACACACACACACGCACGCACGCACGCACGCACGCACGCACGCACACACACACACAAACACACACACACCACAAAAACACGCACGCGCACGCGCACGCGCACGCGCGCACGCACACGCACACGCACACACACACATACACAGCACACACACACACACGCACACGCACACACAAAGACACACATGCACACACGCGCACGTACGCACGCACGCACGCACGCTCGCTCGCTCGCTCGCGCGGCGCACACCACGCACGCACCCACGCACCCACGCACCCGCCTCCCCCCCCCCCCCCCCCTCATCCAGCCATCCCCCCCCCCGCCCACCCACCCACCGACACACACAATGACAACACACACACACACACGCACCCACACACACACACACGCACACACACATACACACACACACACACACACACGCACGCACGCACGCACGCACGCACGCACACACACACACAGACACACACACACACACACGCACACACACACACACACACACACGCCCACGCCAACGCCCACGCCCACGCCCACGCCCACGCCCACGCACACGCACACGAACGCGCACGCGCACACGCACTTGCACGCGCGCGCACACGCGCACGCAAACGCACACGCACACGCACGCGAACGCGCACGCGCACGCGCATGCGCAGCACGCGCACCCTCGCGCCCGCGCGCCCGCGCGCCCGCCCGCCCGCACGTTCGCTCGCTCGCGCGCACGCACGCAGGCAGGCACGCCCCCCCCCCCGCCTGTGTGCACGCGCACGCACGCGCACGCACGCACGCACACGCATCCATTCGCACGCGCACGCACGAGCACGCGCACGCAAGCGCACGCGCACGCACGCACGCACGTACGCGCACGCACGAGCACGCAAACGCAAGCACACGCACGCATGCGCATGCACACGCACGCACGCGCGCCCGCCCGCACGCGCGCACGCACGCACGCGCACGCACGCACGCGCACGCACGCGCACGGCGAACGCACGCGCACGCACGCACGCGCACGCACGCGCACGCACGCGCACACGCACGCACACGCACGCACACATACACGCACGAACACATACACGCACGCAAACACGCACGCACGCACCACATCCAGACACACACACACACACACACACACATACGCACCCTCACACGCACACACACACAAACACACACACACACACCACTTTTTACATCGCAGCGCGGCAGCGGCAGTCCAACACGCGCGCTCAAGCGGTTCGGGAAACGGGAATCGCAAATTGACCAGCGGCAGGAGGGGAGGGAGACAGGTGAACTAGCCGCGGAACGGGGGGAAGAGGAGGGGCACTCACGTCGCGAGGTGCGTCACCGTGGAGCGGCCTGGGCGGCGTGCAGTACCACCTGGCAGTGGGCGCGGGGCGGCGTCGCGGCCACACCCAGGGGCTGAGGCAAGGGCTGCAGCGCACCAAATGCAGGAAGTAGAATACGGGAGGCGGGCGCACAAGGCCACTTCGCAGACGTCCAATTCCAGCGCGGCCAATGCAAGCTAGCGGGTGACCACAGGCGGCAAAATGCAGCGGAGGTGGTCGAAGGCCGGTTGGTGGGAGGCGGGCAGTGCTGCCTGCTGCTGCTGTATGCAGAGCGGGGGGGGGGAACAGATCCAGCCAGAAGCGGGCAAGTGGCGAAACGGCGCAGCAGGGGGCGGGGGCGCAGTAGCGCGCCCAACCAGCAGAGCCACGGTCTGTCCAGAACCTGCACGGAGGGCGGGTAGACAAAACCATCACATTCACACACGCAACACCCAAAACAAGCAGCACACAACGCACCCGCACACAACAAACCTGACACACCTACCACGCATAACACACATGACCAAAACATAACTCGCACATAGCACACACACACAACACATAACACCCGCACACAACACACAACACACAAACCTTACACACCACACGCTCACACACATACACATACACATACACACTGCACGTGTGTTTGTATGAGCCTGAGTACGCAAACACCACTTGCACGGTCTGGAGGTTTTGTTTAGCGTGTCGCGGCGGCGGCCCTCACGACACGCAATGTGCTGCGAGCCGATAGCGTGTCGCTTCGCTCCGCGGGGCGGGAGGCCGGGAAAGGCTCGGACGTTGACGCTTGACGTTGGGGGCTTCGTGGCGGCTTTCGGGGGTCCTCTCGGGCCTCTCTTGTGCCGCTTGGGTCTTGGGTCTCCGCCAAAGTCCTCTTGGGCGGGGTGGGAGCCGGCGCGGAAGCCCCTGCGAGGACGTCTTGGGCTGTCGGCGGCTGGCAGTGCGAAAATGCTTGATCATTCAACGCCATACAGGACTCCAGGATGTGTCCCTGTGGAGGGCCTCTTGGGGGGCGTATTTGGTGCGGTGGGGGTCTCCCAAAGGCTTCCCAAGGGCTTCCTGGGCCTCCTGAGGCCTCGAGCTTCTTGCGGACCTCTGCGTCTTGTGGGCCTCCCGGGGGGTCTGTTGGGGCCCCTTGGAGGCCTCCTTGGGACCTTTGGACAGCCTCGGAGGCCCTCTGGCAGCAGGCTCGAAATACGAGGTGGAGTTCCCCATCTTGGGCGCCTCCAGGTGCCCTCTGGGCACAGTGTGGGCAAATCTGAATACTTCTTGGGTCGTCTTGGGGTGGCTCTCATGGGGCACTCTTAGGGGCCGCCCTGGGGACTTCTTGGCCGGCTTGGGGCGATCCAGACTGGCTGTTGGGGCGTCCTGGTCGCTGTGGACCATATTCTAGTGAAAAGGATGAATCAATGTTTGCGCACGGAAAGCCCCTGGAATGCTGCTTTGGGACGCGGTTGGGGCATGTTGGAGGCGCCACGGGGCCGCTGGAGACGCTTCGCGGGAGGCATTGGAGACCCGTCGAGACCATGTTCGGTGCGATTGGATGCCCTTTTGGGCCGCCCTGACGGGCTGCGCGGCCCCTCCCAGAAGCGATGTCGGGTCCCCGTTGGGGGCGTGCTGGGGCTCACCGCTTGGGAAGCTAGTGCGTTTGGGCTTTTGGCCAGGGGTCGCGCCTCATGGCCCAAGGGCTCGTGCGCAGCCCCAGGGGTAGGTAGGGCCACGGGGCGCAGCGGAAGAGAAGAGACTGCCATGAAATCCGAGGAGACTTTATGGCCCTACACCCTTGCACCCATTGAGGCTCGAACGTGGAGGGGTTTCCTTCGGGCACCTTTCGGCCTTGGCCGTCCGCACAAAGACAAATACTTGCTCAGGACGAAGTAATTTGGCCAAAGGGAAGGGGTCGACGTCGAGAGATGTGGGGACCCCAAGGCTCGAACACATGGAGTCGCTGCCAGTCTGAGCTTTGCCTGGGCGGCCAGGGAAGGAGAGGTTCTCGCCCAGCCGGTGCGACCTCGTCGTCGTCGTCGTCGTCGCAGCTGTGTCCAACAGAGCGCCCCCGAACCCCACCGACTACTCCCCATCGCGCTCAGCCGGCCACAGTTCAAGTTTCGCTGGACCCCCCTGCCTGGCGCGCGGAGCGCGCCAGGGGCGGCGCCCGAGGCGCCGCAGGGGGGGCCAAAAGGAATCCGCGTGGAGCGCCAAAAGTTTTATGTTTATGCCGCATTTTCTCCTTCGACTTTTTTAGCGTTTCGGAGCCCTCTTTGGGGCCTCTTGGGCTGTCTCGGAGCCATCTTGCGGGTCTCTTGGACGCTCCTCTTGGCGCCCTGCAGGGCCGCTTTGGAGCCGTATTGAAGGCCTCTTGCGGGCCTCTGGGGCTGTCCTCCTATGAGGCCGCGAAGCGTGTGAGGGATGCGCCAGCATGGGGGGGTGGAACCGCATGCGAGCCCTGCCACTGCGCCCTTCGGTGGAGCTCCCCATGGAGGTGCGAAACGTGTGAGTGGTGCACCGACATGGGGGGTGGAACCGCATGCGAACCCTGCTACTGCGCCCTTCGGTGGAGCTCCCCATGGAGGTGCGAAACGTGTGAAGGGTGCACCGGAATGGGGGTGGAACCGCATGCGAACCCTGCCACTGCGCCCTTCGGTGGAGCTCCCGATGGGGGTGCGAAACGTGTGAGGAGTGCACCCAAATGGGGGGTGGAACCGCATGCGAACCCTGCCACTGCGCCCTTCGGTGGAGCTCCTCCATGGGGGCGCGCAGCGTGTGAGGGGTGTGCCGAAACAGACAAATGCGGAGGGCTGAGGCAAGGGATGGGAGGAGGGCGAAGAGAAAGAGGAGGAAGACGTGGGGCGTTGTCCCTTCAAAACGAGGCCCAACACCACAGGATAGTTTGGAATAAGCGTCGTGCTTTCGCCGTGCCCTCGCCCTCCTCGCCCTCCCCCCCTCCCTCCCCCTCGTCCTCCTCGCCCTCCTGCTCCTCGCTGTGTCGATGGCCTTCCCTCCGGTGCGCATGTCTTGCAGCACGGTGTCGACCGTCCGCGACAGCGGCCCGAGTTCTCCCGAGCCAAGGGTGTACTCCATCACATCCTGGTGGGGGGAGGCCGGAGGGAAGAGGAAGGCTGGAATGAGCGAAGAGCATCAAAGTTGGAGGATCGAGGTCTTCATTCTTGCTTTGCCCGTCGGAGGGCCTCTGAAGGACAATGCTCTGGGCGTGGATGCGTGGATGAAATGGGTTTCTGTGGTGCGATACCATGTTCAAGGTGTCGTCGCCTGACCCGCCACCCAAGCCGCGAACCGCCCGCGACCCGTCCCGCGATCCGTCCCGTGACACGCCGGGCGTCGCCGCCGACGACAACCCAGCCGCCCAGAATCGTGTTTGAGAGCTCGGCGCGCTGTCCTGTACTGGCCTGGAAGAGCACCGTTGTCCGTCCACGCCCTCCAAGGCCCGCCGACCTCTTTACGCTGCAATGTGCTCGTTTGCTCGTCCCCTCACTCTTGCGCACGATTGCGGGGGCTGACCAGGGCGTCGTTCCTGGAGAGGAGAGACCCCCCCGTTTGCAGCCTCGGTCTGGGCGGCTTCAAGGCTGGATCTTTGAGGGGCCCGAGCGTTGTTCCCGCGCGGGCAGCTACGAGCGGGTTTAGGCTGGCGGGCCCCCCGTGAGGTGCGCCTTCAGGGTCGACACGACGGGCGGATCCACGCACACGCGCGAGGCCCGAATCACTGGGAGCGGTCGCTCTGGCCAGGGACATGAGTCGTTTCCTCCCTTCTGTGAAGGCCAGATAGTCAGGGTTTAGTAGCCTGGCTCGACATCTTCTGGCAAGTACAGCTACCGTGCTTGAAGCCAGACGCAGTGTCAAGAGGAAGCTCACAGAGCGCTTTACACGTGGTGTTTTCCCTACGTCGGAAACAAAGGTGTCGTTCGTGTCAACGTCGGCCTGCCCCGCGTCACGCTGGAGACGGAACGGACCACGGGCGCCTGCAGCCCTTAAGGCAGGCGCGTCCCCGGGCAAGAGACACCCCACCATAATGGGTGCATTCGGCCCGTGGGGGTGGGCACATAATTCAAAGATGTTTGTGCCCTTGTTACAGTGTTTCGACAAGTTGTAATCGCTGTCGCCGTCTCCTTATTCCATTCACTTGCTTGTACTTTGTTGCATTGTTTCGGCGATACTGTATTCAGTGTTGCAAAGGCGGTTGTCTCTCATCAAGCGATTTGGTCAATCATCCGGCAAACTTCTGGCTATCAGCCGAAAGTCTCTCCAAGAGCTCGTCTTCGGCGGTGCAGCATTTTTCCCATCAGCCAGAGTAGTAGCAGTGGTCGCTTTACCAAAGAGGGGGCTTCGCACGCGCGCTCTGATTGTGGTGCCCCAGAACCGGGATACGAAGTCGGCTCCGCCGTCCTGTGCTCCAGTCAGTGCTCTGGTCACGGGGGCGGGGGGTCGGACATTCAAGGAAAAAGGAGGCACCTGCGGCCAAGCCGCCAGGTGCCGACGATGTCACGAAAGAGGGGGCAGTCGTTTCCTCCCTTCTGTGAAGGCCAGATAGTCAGGGTTTAGTAGCCTGGCTCGACATCTTCTGGCACATACAGCTACCGTGCTCGAAGCCAGACTCAGTGTCAAGAGGAAGCTCACAGAGCGCTTTACACGTTGTGTTTTCCCTACGTCGGAAACAAAGGTGTCGTTCGTGTCAACGTCGGCCTGCCCCGCGTCACGCTGGAGACGGAACGGACCACGGGCGCCTGCAGCCCTTAAGGCAGGCGCGTCCCCGGGCAAGAGACACCCCACCATAATGGGTGCATTCGGCCCGTGGGGGTGGGCACATAATTCAAAGATGTTTGTGCCGTTGTTACAGTGTTTCGACAAGTTGTATTCGCTGTCACATTCTCCTTATTCCATTCACTTGCTTGTACTTTGTTGCATTGTTTCGGTGATACTGTATTCAGTGTTGCAAAGGCGGTTGTCTCTCATCAAGCGATTTGGTCAATCATCAGGCAAACTTCTGCATGGCCTGGACCTCCCGGCTAGGACCGTCCGAGCAGGACCTTCTACAGGGGGGACCTTGAAGCCAGCTCCGCAAGGCCCGCGCGCCACGGAGATGTCCATCTACAGCCGGGGCCCGCCGCAGTCAGGGGCGTCCAAGAGGGGGACGTACAAGAGGTGGGTTCGCAAATCATGGCCGGAGGCATGTGCGCGGACGAGGGAGGGGGCCAAAAGACGTGTTGATAGAAGAAGCAGAAGAAAATAGGACCATGAGATGCGGGGAATGTCATGGGCCCGGAGATACTGTTTTAGTTTGGCTGGTATCGGTCGTTACCCTGGGGTGGGTTCTGGGCCTCGGCTAACGCCCGAAAAGCACTCTACGCGTGCGGGCACAACAGTGGCCTGCGATTCGATCACGCGCGCAAGGCCTGACAACATCAGCAAGGCACATGCGAGCACCGCAATTGCCTGCGATCGACCAGTGTGCGCTTGCGACAACCATACCATAGCAAGAGCACCACAGTGCGTGCGCTTGGGCGCACCACAGTGCGCTTGCGAACACATCCGTACGCCTGCGAGCACTACAATGCAGGCGCCGCGCGTCTACGAGAACCACAGCGCGGTTGCGACCACCACGCCGCGTGGTGAGCAGCCGCACGACGTTGCGCGGCAGTACAATTCATCCTCTTACTCTCCCCGTTCCTCCTTTGCTCCTCCTTCTCCCCCTCCTCCTCCTCCTCCTCGTCGTCCTCGTCCTCGTTTTCCTCCTCTTCCTCCACCTCCTCCTCCTGGTCCTCCTCCTCCTCCTCCTCGCCCCCTCCACCTATCCTGGCCACAAAAAGCTTCAAGTAAGGGACAAAAGGGACTTTGTGGACGCGGAAAGCCTCGACAATCACCAAATTCCTAAACGATGGAGCGAGGAGCGGCCCAGACACCAGCTCATAGTGAAGGCAGGCGGCGGTACGACGACGACGACGACGACAACGACAACGACGACTACGACTTCGACTACGACGGCGGAGGACGTCGTCGTGAACGACGACGACGGACGACGACGACGAAGAATGACGACTGACGACGACGACGAAATCGACGACGACAACTGACAACGACGACGACAACGACGACTACAACGACAATAGCGATGACGACAACGCCGACGACGACGGCGGGGGCGGCAGAAACGGCGGCGGCGGCGTCGACTACGACGAACGACGAGGTTGACGACGGTGGCAGCGGCTGACGCGGCGGCGTTACGATAGAAACCAATACCGCGTTTGCAGCTGCTTGTGCGTGTCGGACCTGTACCTCAAAAGTGTTGTTGATGACCTATCTCGTTCTTCTTCGTTGACGCCGTCGTCGTCCTCCTTCTGTTGCCCATCCTCTTTATCGCGAAAGTCGCATTCACCTGCAAACGCCTCAACGTGCCCGCAACAACCACAACGCTTGCGAACACCACCTGCATGTATAACAACACGCCGGACCCTGTCAGAATCGGGGAAAAACTAACAACGCAACGCGTGATCGAGCACAACCAATAAGCCTGCATGTGCCACGCTAGCACGGGAGAGCCGCAATATACATGCGAACAACACAACGTGCCTTCGGGCACCTGCATGTCGGGGGGGGCTCCGGGCCACCCCTCCCAAGTACGATCGTTACCGTTACCCGTGGGGGGGGAGGGCAGGTGCGGCATCACCCGCCACAGGGTAAGAAACGACCACCCGGCCATGAAATCCCCGCCATCACCCCCTCATGGCCGCCCCAGGTGCCTGCGGGGGCCCTGCATGCGGCCGGGGCCCCGAAGGCAGCGCCCCGGCGGGCGATCCGGGTGGCAGGGATGGCCGCACCGCTGCGCAAACCCCACGGGCGGGACCGCGGCGGCAACGGCCGATGCCCGCGGGCGAAGAACGAGCGGCGCCACGGGGGCGGGATGCTCCGTGCAGCGGCTGGGCCCCCGGGGGCGGCGCGGGGCCTCATGAGCGACGCCTGGGGCCCTGGCACGACGCCCCGGTTAGGCGTGGCCTGCTTAACAGGGAGGCGATTGACGGGGCGCCACCTCTCGCGCCCCCCCCGCTGGGCCCCAAGGGGGCGATTCGGGGCACCGAATGCGCGCAAAAAGTCTGCCTTTTTCCCTTCCCCCCCCCTTATCCTTCTTTTCCTCCTCCTCCTCCTCCTCCTCCTCCTCCGCCTTTTCCTCCTCCTCCTGTTCCTCCTCCTGTTCCTCCTCCTCCTCCTCCTCCTCCTCCTCCTCCTCCTCCTCCTCCTCCTCCTCCGCCTCTTCCTCCTCCTCCTCCTCCTCCTCCTCCTCCTCCTCCTCCTCCTCCTCCTCCTGCTCCTCCTCCTTTTCCTCCTTTTGGCAGCGGGGCCCCGGCGACCCCGAGTCTGGAGGGGTTTCCAGGGCGCTCGGCGCGCGCGAGGCGCGGGCCCTCTCCCGCGGCCCCCAGCCGCGCCGCGCATGCCCGCTCCGACTTCGGCCACGAACGAGGTCACAAGATAGGGCTCCGCGGCGACACCTCCCGAAAGGGTCACGGGCGTTGGCCAAATGCTCCTCCAAGTTGCGTCGCCCGTCATGGCCCGCGGCCCCCGCTGGCGGCGCCGCCCCGCTGCCGCGGCGCGGAGCCTGCGTCTCGCCAGAGCCGCGCCCAGGCCAAGCGGCTGCACGCCTGCCGCGCCCGGCGCCCAGCAGCGCCAGCGCGACGCGCTGTCGCAGCAGCAGCCCGCTGGCCAGCCGCGCCCAGCGCGCAGCGGCGCCCGCCCAGCTCCGCCCAGCGCCGCGTCAGTCAGCGCCTTCTGCGGTCTGGCCCACTAGCGCCAGCGGCCCGGCCCCAAGCCCACGTCGCCCAGTGCAAGCAAGCGCCCTGCGGCGCTCAAGCGTGGCGGGCGCGGCGGGCCACCGGCAAGGCGCCCGCGGCGCCGGCGCCGCCCTCTCGGCGGGGCGGCCCGCGCGTCGGCAAGCGGGCAGCACGGAAAGCGTCCGCGCCGCCCCGCTGCAAAGCCGCGGCGAAGATTTGCCGGGCCGCCGCGAGCACCTCCGCGTCCCCGCGCGCCCAGGTTCGGAGCAGCGCTTGCGCTGCTGGTCCAGCTCGCCCAAGGGTCTCCAGGGCGATCGCCGTCAGCGCGGGGCCTGGGTAGCGCCTGTGTTCGCGCCCCTCCGCGGCCGCCGCAGCTGCGCCGTCGCGGACGGCACGGCTCCGGCCGGCAGCGGACCCTGCGCCCGCCGCGGCGTTCGCGACCACCGTGCCGACGTACACCGCTCCAGCGGCCGGGTTGGTGCAGGCCACGTCGAGCCGCGCTGCCCCGACGGTGCCGTCAGGCAGGGCCCTGTCCCAAACGGGGACATACCGCTCGGTATCCACCCCCGTGGCCCCCTGAGCGCGCAGCCAGGCCGCGAACCAGTCGCGCGCGCTGTTATGGAGCACGATGGTCCCGCCCGCCGGCCACGTGGCAGTCGACCCGGGCAGCGGAGGCAAGTGGCGCTTGCGTGAGCTGGCAGGGGCAGCCGCAAGGGGAGGGCGAGCGCTGGCTCAAAGTGCGCGTCGGCCAGGCAGCGGTCCTCCTGCGCAGGTGGCTGCAGCCAGCTGCCCGCGCCTTTCCCGCTAGCCGAGCGCAGCAGCGCGGCCTGCTGTGGCGGCAAAGCGGCCAGTAGTCGCTGTTGTGCACCTGTTGTTCCGTGGCCGCGAGAGTGCGTTGCGCCTTCCTGACTGGCTCGGCCGCGGCGCGAGCCAGCGGACAGCGCATGGCTGTTGCAGCGCGTGGCCCGCGCCGCCCGCGGTCGCCCAAGCCCCGGGGCAAGCTCGCGCGAAGGCCTCCAGGCTGGGCAGCCCGAGCTCGGAATAGACGCCTGCCAGGCAAACCTGCCACGCGCCGACGAAGACGGGCAGCCAGCGGCGTCAGCCCCTGTAGCCCGAGTCCACCCTCGGCCAGCGGGGAGAAAGCCTGCTCGCGCGCGTCGGCCGTCAGCGGCTGGCCGGAAAGCTCCTCGAGGTGCCCGAGCACAGCGTCGTCGTAGGCTCTGCACCAGCCCTCGTCCAGTAGGTGCGCCCTCGCATGGTGCAGAGCCGCGCCGTTCGCGAAGGTGCGAAGGAGGACCAATTCGTTTTGCGCTCGCAAGCCGTGCGCGCGCAGGTGGCGGAGCGCTGCCAGGTAGGTCTCGAGGTGGCGTCTCGCCGCGTGCGTGGCGCCTGTCGGCGAGAAGCTCGTCCGCTCTGGGGCTGGGTCACCTGCCGCTTCGTCCTACTCGCTTCGCGCGAACGGCAGCGTGCTCCCCAGGCATCCTCCTCCTCCTCCTCCTCCTCCTTTTCCTCCTCCTCCTCCTCCTCCTCCTCCTCCTTTTCCTCGTCCTCCTCGTCCTCTCTTTTATCGCCGCCCCCCCCCCCACACACACATACGCAACGTTCGACCCGCGGATGAGACCCCGTGACAGGGCGGGGTATTCCAGGGACAGCGGCTGACGCGCTCCCAGACGCGGGCCCGTCTCGGTGGGAACCCGTCGGCGGGGCCCTGTGGGCGGCGAGCGCCGAACCTCAGAACCGGGTGACAGTCATAGTTAGGTGGGGAAACGAGCGGGGTGGCGGAATCGGGGCCCAACCATGGAACCCAATGTAAAGAGGAAGAGGAGGAGGAGGCCGAGGAAGAAGAGGAGGCGGAGCAGGAGATGGAGGGGCTTCGTGATGTGACAGCGATGATGATGCTGATGATGATATATAAAGACGACGATGAGGAGAAGCTGGAGGAGGATAAGGATGAAGAGAAGCAGGCGTTTGGCCCAGGCGAGCAGGTGCGGCCTGCTTCTGTGGCAGTACGGCAACTTTTGCTTCGTGGCTCGCGCTGGTTCCTCCTCGTTCGCAGACAGATCAGATTTAAGAAACCCTCGTTGCAAGCGGTGCGTGTCGCATTGCAAACGCCCGTGTACGCCTGGGGGGCTCGGTTTGGGATGGGGGCCCAGGCATCAATCGAGGCGCATTTACCCCTGCGGCCATGGTTTTCGGTGAGTCGCCACAGAAAGCGACGAGAAATAAATCTGAGGCGAGGGTCGATGCGATGCGCGGCCTGCACATAACAAGTGGTGTCGAACCCTGAATTTCGGGCGTGCCCACGCACGGCGACGCGGCTGCCCTGCGCGCGGGCCGCGCAACGCGTGTCGTTCGAGCCGTCGTCACACGTGCGCGCGCGCCGAAGTGCGCGCCTTGAGATCGCAGCGCTACCCGAGCACCGCCGCGTACGAACGCAACCTAGCTTGACCGCGACAGAAGCGAACAAACGAGAAAAACAATTGGTTGAAGAGGGTGCGACAGCGGAAAAGGCGGCCGGGCAGGGAGAAGCCCACAGAGAAAGACGGGGACCACTTGGATGAACCGGACGATGCCGAAAGGCGGGGGGGAGACGAAGGTCGCTTGGACGACAGCCCCATGGGCGGAAAGGCGGCCTGCTTTTCGCAGAGCCGCCCACCAACTCGATCCAGCCAGCATCTGCAGCGGGCGCAGAGTTCATTGAGCGTCGACCTCGGCGGGG